ACACCATTTATAACACAAACCAAATTTGTTGGTTAAAATACATTTATTTATCTTATTATTAAATTTTTATTATATATATCATCATTGTTTAAAGTTAGTTTTTATTAAAAAAAAATAGTTATAGAGTAGTATACACTAGAGAAAAATGATGAAATTCCAACGAAAATCTATTTTAATAGAATTCCAATGACGATTCCAATGCTATTATTTCAGTTGGAATTTTTCAATAGATTCCACTAGTGATTCCAACAAAAATATTCCATAGGAATGAGTTTTTCATTAGATTTTTTGATGGATTTTGAAGATTCCAACGGTTAAAATATGAGTGAAATAGAAATTAGAACGGAAATTGCATATTTCAACGGTAAAAAGCTGTTGGAATAGTAGTCGTTGGAATTATCAAATTCCATCTAAAATTCCAATGGAAAACTCATTCCCACGGAAGCTAATATCCATTGAAATTTACATTGTAATATATTATTGTAGAATTTTCCGTTGGAATACGACAATTTTTTTGTAGTGATTGTTATTAATGTATATTTTACATAATTATCAACCTTTTTTATTATGTTATATGTAATTACGTAATTGGTGTGTAGTGCCCTATTCGTTTTTTTCAAGAGTTGTCGTATTTTTTTTTTAATAGCATTCTTGCATTTCAATTTATAGCTCGACCTTGTGTAATCTATTTTAAATCCAAAATTCAAATTAAATAGATGTTCTCATCGATTTAATTTGCTTAAAATTTACCAGTAAAAAATCGAGATCAAGAAGATGTCGTTGTCTTCTTAAATTCTTTATGGTGCTCTCGTTTTACTAAATCGTTCTAAGTGTATAAATTGTTTTGAATTTGCCTTGGTGTGTTAATTGTACACTTTGTTGTTCCTAAGTATTTTATTTTGCTAAGTATCTAATTTATTTTCCTAAGTGTTCAAAATGTGCCTAAGTCTTTTATTTTGTGCCTAAGTTTCCTAAGTTTTAATTTCGCCCCAAGTGTGCCTTCTATGGGCCCAATTAAACCCAATCCAGCAACTCCTTATCTTGGCCCAAGTCAGCCCATAATAAATCAATGATTCCGGCCTAAAAATTGGGTCCAATCGGCCCATTTTGAATTCGCTCAAGTGCCTTTAAGCAGCCCTAATGTTTCTGAGGAATTTGCACCCCTTACTAACAACTATGATTTTTATTACATTTATATGCCCTTTACATTCTTATCTATAGAATTGTCTAACCAAGCCAAAAATATTTTAATTTTACCTAACATTGGATGGAACCGTTATTACCTTATTTTCAGGCATATTAAATGCAAATGATATCTTTAAGATTTGCGAATTTATATAAAGATTTGCGATGGTAAACTATCAGTAATGCTAAGGAGCCAACTGTTGACTCCGTTATGGGGCCAACAGCCAATGGGACAACTCCATGTGGGGCTGTCCCACATTGGAGCCATGTGGGACAGCCCACATGGAACTGTCCCATTGGCTGTTGGCTCCATAACGGAACCAACAGTTGGCTCCTTAGCATTATTGGGTAAAGTATGAAGTTTATATAAAGAAGAGATGCAGAGCTGCGACGGTAAACTCCGATGACAGGGGAGCGACCTTCATATTCTCTAAGAAGTGCGATTTTTTTCCTGCAATTCTTCTTCTTCCCTGCTCGTGCTTAATCCTATTGTGAATGGTGGAAATCTCGAGCGCGAAATTTATGGTCATCCCTTCTTCTTCTTCTTCTTCTTCTTCTTCTTCTTCTTCTTCTTCTTCTTCCAGAAGGGGGATATCGATCTCGGCTGCCGACTCTTTCTGCTTCGGCTCGTGCATGGAAGGCTGGTAGACCCATGAATCCATCGATCGCAGGTTTTTTATCTTTATCGTTTTTCTTTCTTTTGAATTTCGTGACTGCTTTTTTTCTCTGTCAATTTTGAATTTTTGAGTGGAGATAAATCGTTGGATAGGAAATCGGAGAAACAAAATGTTGTTCAAACAAAAGAAGAATCAGCCTTTGAAGGGAAACATGTTTTTGATTAGCGTTACTGTTCTGGGTAGTGCTGGGCCGATTAGGTTTGTGGTTAACGGAGCTTGTTGCTGATGTGATCGATACTGCTTTGAAATCATATGCCCGTTAGGGTAGGCTCCCAATTCTTGGATATAATCTCGATAATTTCATTATATATTGCTATATTGCTGGAATTGAAGCTTTTAGTCCATGTAGTATATGTATATGATGCGTATATAGGCAGTATATGTTTCCGTGTGTTTATAAATTGATTTTTTTTGTTGTGTATATGTATAGTTTATGTACAATTAGTTTGTGAATAGATGTTTGTTTTTTCTCTTTTCAATGTTTTATTCATAGTTTATGTTGGTATATTAGAAATTTTTTTTTGTTAGAAAACGAATTTGACAAAGCATAAACTGTATATATATGGTTTATATTCAGTATATTTTCGGTACATGATAAAGAAATTTGTCGCGAGACATAATTTTTATGTATAAAATTAAATTATATTTAACATAAATTGATTGCAACATATACTGAATATATACGAACATAAACGCAATATAACCACCTAACAACTGCGTGAATTAAGAAATTCCAGTTGCGCACATATATTGAATATATACTAATAACATAAACGCAATATATAACATATGTATATGTGTTGTATAATACTATATGTATATTATATAATCAGTTACAAAAGGTGATCGTGTTGCACATATTAGTATATGTATAGTATATTCTCGATATATAATACTCCCTCCTATTTTTATTATTTGTCATCCTAACTTAATTGATCATTTGTTAAATAAATGTCGTTTTGGCTATTTTGTACATATTTTTTCATTATTACCCTCATCTAACTAATAAATACACTACGTCTTTTCATATTCACTCTCCATCTTTTCTCAAAACATCAATCTCTATCCTCATTAATGAAGATTATTAGTGGCAAAAAAATATTCTTAATTATTGTGCAACTTTTCAAAACGACATTTACTAAAAATACGAGGGAGTAGTATATTATCAATATATTATAGGTATAATCAGAATATATTGTTTGGTCTGTTTTAAAGGGGCAAAAATCCAATTTTAATCCGCTAGCTGGTCCATTGTCCATTTTTGGTACACTATCTTTCCCCTCATAAAAAATGGTCCATTATGTTACACTTTTCATCAGTTTTAGTACACTAATCCCGTGACCTGGGATTACGAGATGTCAAATCAGATTTTTATCCTACCACATCAAGATCTTATTCCTCCACGTAGTTCCAATCCCGGTCCACGTCATCTTGTAATCCCGCCAACTGGAGTAGCATACTAAAACTGATGAAAAATGTAACATAATGGACTATTTTTTATGAGGGGAAAGATAGTGTACCAAAAGTGGACAATGGACAAATTAGCGGACTAAAATTGGATTTTTGCCATTTTAAAGGTATTGAGAATTTTGTCCTTCTGGGATTATTAATGGTGTTTTTTTTTTTTTTTTTTTTTNTGGTGTTTTTTTTTTTCTGTAGCTTTATGTGTGTTTGTTGAATGTTTAAACAAGAGAAGAAATAAAGAAGTCCCTGTAAATTGCAAAAAGCCAAACTTGCAGGGGAGAATTTCACAAATAAGTCAATAAGTCAGAATTTCAAGAACACAACAGATTTGCATACTAAGAAATAAACAAACTGATTTCTAATCATTTGTTCTGAAAATAAGCTAAGCTTCATTCACATAGTGAAGAGACTGAATGTGTTTGTTTCCCAGTAAACAGATGTACATCTGACCAAACTATGTGCAGATAGGAAGAGAAAGAGAAAAAGAAAAAAAGAACAACAAATAACATTGAATGTGGTGTCGTCATGAAATCCAACCACCAGTATAATGTCAACATATTTGTCTGCGCCCGTTCGATTATCTCAAGCTCTGCCAAACCCCCATTGGGAATCCATCTAAAAAAACACGAAAATATACATATACCCATCAGCACAAAAAATCAATATCTACTACAATTGAATGAAGGTTAATATCACAAAATATACCTCCAAATCTTCAGTTTATCCGATCGACGACCCCCTCTGTTTTCTTTTTTTTTTTCTCTATTTTTTCAATGTCATATGTGGTCGTGAAAACAAAAAACAACGATCGACACAACNTCAATCTTGTGTTATTCAACTTCAAATATGATTCTTTCCATCTTCAATCCAGAAATCGTGCGCTATAAACATGAGATAGGTTTGACAAATAGCTGTAACTGATTTTAGGCATGAATGTAAATAATTATTATCTATTGGGTATATTCTCAATTAAATTGTTATGAATGGTAAGGTTGCAAATTACTTGGATGCTTCTAAAAATTTCCCAATGTTTTTCCCTGTTTTATTTCCTCCAAGCCATCAAAAGCCGTCACCCTCTCGCCCTCGTTTTCGTACCAATTTTCCCGGCGTCCCTGCACCCTGCCCTACCGCAGCATTTCACCGGCGTCAAACGCAATCCGGCCGCTATCCGCTGCAGCACAACGATGGGAGACGCGTAATCCGCCATTGAGAGCCACGACCAACGGCGCGCGCAACCAAGGCGAACCGCGACTGAAACTTCATGCGGTAAGTCCGAATTTCGTAAATTTGATTTTTATTTGGGGCCTTAAGATATGTTAATCCGATTTGTCGAACCGAGGCCCTTTTTCCAGAAGAAGTTATTCCTTTATCCGAGCCTTCTACCCCTTTTTGTGACCGATAATCGTGGATTCTTTTCAGTTAAAGTGGTTGTTCATGCTTGCTTGAGATTAGTTAAGTTCTATTGGAAAAGAAGCATGCTATTTTGTAGTTTTCGGTTTGTTTGTTTAAGGGATGGTCGAATCATGCTCATCTGGTATGGTTGCTGCGTTTTTATACTCCTGTTCAGGGGTTAAATTTTCAGTTTGGAAGTTTGTTAAAAGCATGCTTAGGAACTTAGTTAAAAAAAAATGAAGAAAAGATATGCTTGTTATGTGATTTTTTGCCTTGCTTGTATGAGCTTTGCTGAGGCTCTTAGCATGCGTCCGTTTAATGCTGAAACTTTTTATTTTCATGCTAAATTAGTGCTCGAGTTTCAGCTTTAAAGGCATGCTTAGTTGGTTAAATTTGAAAAGGAAAAGAGAGCCTTTCCATATTGAAAACATGCTGTTTATGGTGTTGAAAAGTCGGATTTTATGTTCAATGTTGAGGCCCTATTGTTGTTCTTAAGGTTGATAAATTTTGAAAGGGGAGAGATGCATATTTTTGTGGAATTTTGCTTAGCTTGATTTTATTAATTGAAGGCCCTTGTCGCCGGTTAATTGTGCTGAAACTGTGAATTATTTTAGAGGTTACGTTCAGTTCTTAAGGCCTTTTAGTTGTGGTTTGAGTCTTGAGAAAAAGATAGGTTTTTGTACATGTTTGTTGGCCTTGTCTCAATTATAATTTGTACATGCTGCTAAGCCTTATTGATATGTTTTTATATGCTGAAAATGTGTTGAACATCAAGTTTTATATTCAGTTATAATGCCTTATTGATGTGCTAAGGATTGGCTAAATTGTGAAGAGGAAATAGAGCTAAGAGCATCTCCAATGTGAGATGTTGACTTAATAAAATGTTAGCCACATCATCAAGTTATAAAGTGAAAACAAAAATTAATCTCCAATCCATAATGTTATGGACTCTTTTATGCTGACATGGAGACAATAAACATCCAAAGTGTGAAGCCCACTTTCTAGTTTTCCAAAGAGTGTTTGAAAGCCAATCATAAAAAATCTAACCTATTTTAAACTTTTGAAAGGGATGCATTGGAGATGTGCATTCCAAGTTAAAGTCTTCTCTTTTGACATTCATATTACATGGATTTACATTCCATTCATCATTTGACATGTGTTCAAATTTAATTAATGTTCAAAGTAGAGCATTGGAGATGCTCTAAGTGATGCATGTTTGGCATGTTTGTCTTTGTCTGGCTGAGCCTTGTTAAATTCTTGATTATGCTGCATTTTATGTTGAGTTTTATTAGAGAGTTAGAAATCTTTTTGAAAGCCTTCAAGCAGTGATTAAAATAGCGCGTGGCGAGCCGAGGCGACAAGGCTCCGATTTGCCATGGCGTGAGGCGTGCGGCGAGGCGAGCCATTACACAAAAAATAGAAATATATGTACATGTGACATTTTACCAAATTATGACACAATTAGGTATATAAAAATAAATTATAATAGCTAATAAACATGCAACAAAACACCACACATTAAAATAAAAACAATATTAAACAAACTAGAAATAGAAATAGCATCAACCCACATGATCCCAATTAAAATAAACACCAACCCACCCCACAATCCCACATTATGCCAAATTTGCAATTAAAATAATAATATAATGTCTACTATTCGTTAAAAAAACAAGTTAATGCTCCACATTCATAAATAAACAAAATAAATAATAAGATAGAAAAAAAATGTTAACCCCAGCCCCCCCTTGTTCGCTTTTCATCCCGGCCGGCTGCTGTCAGCACCGCCGGCCGCCGACGACGGAAGTTTAGCAGCCGGAGACTTACGCAACAAGCACTATTGCCGTGCTGGTGAAGAATGACTGAATCAAGAAAGGAAAAAAGAAAAAGAAGAAGAAAAGGAAAAACTGGAACATATATCGCTCACCGTCGCCGTCGCCGGTGGAACAAAAGGCACATGGTAATTTTGTAGTTTGGTAAGTAATTGTTGCTAATTGATAAGTTTTAATCTCCCGTCAAAGGTATAAAAGTACCTAAACTAAACTGTCTCGCCTCACTTTCATAAGGCGTCGCCTTGCGCTACGCTACGCTTCATCCGAGGCAACGCCACGGCGTCGCCTTTCACAAGG